CCGTTTCCCTTCTTTTCCACAGCCATCCAAGCTTTTCTGCCCCGTTTCCCTTCTTTTCCACAGCCATCCAAGCTTTTCTGCCCCGTTTCCCTTCTCTTCCCACAGCCATCCAGCTTTTCTCCCCCATTTCCCTTCCTCTGCCACCTCCTCGAGCTGCCTTTCCCCACTTCACTCCTTGTAACTCCCCCTTCCCAATGCTGATCCTCCCACAAAGCTTTCAAAACATTTTTGTTTTCTTTAGGATTACACACAAATACAGCCAAGTCTGATTTATTGGGTGTTCAGCTCTTGCTTGTACAATTCACTCCTGTCTTATTTCCTGAGTTCCATCTTGGAAATCTGAGCTGGCAACCTGAGCATGCCCTTGGCTACTTTTGGGAAGAGAAGAAAGCCAGGTTTATGATGGCACGAATTATCCAAATTCCCAAACTACCCTTCAGCTGGAGCTTTCTCTTTCAAGCCAACACTGCAACTAAATAATTTTTTTTTTTATTATACCTGTTTTAAAGATAAGTTTTTTCTAAATACCAGTTCCTGATTTCCAGAGCGCAGGACACAACTTCCCTCTACTCTTTGAAGATATGACTAGCTGAAATATTTAATATTCATTAAATGAGTTCAGTATTTAATCCTAATTAAATGAGCTCACAGCTACCACAGGGCACAGCACCAACACCTGCATCCCCCTGTGAGCAAAACACGAGGTGGAGCCCTGCCCTGAGAGACTGCTGAGGGATGAAATGCAGATTTTGTGGTGACAAGAGGCAAGATTTGGACAGAGCTAATGGAAAGGCAGGGAAAGGAGCCTGGCACAGAAAGCACTGAAGATAGGAGGGGAGACAAGAATAACACTCCATCAAACACGTACAAACCTCAGTGGGCTGAGAAATCCCATTTCAAGGGAGATTTCCATAGATATGGTGACAGCTGACAGATAAGCAAATGAGAGATCCCAATAAGTGCTGCTGTCACCGCTCGGTGACAGCGCCAGGAGAGGCGAGGGATGCTGCTCCCACGAGGTGATTCACCTTCCTTGGAACAATTACAGCCACCTCCTCGCTGCTGACAAACTCTACCCAGCCTCAGCCTGCTCCAGGTGAGCCACAGCATCCTCATTCCTCCAACTGAAATCCCAAACCCCAAATTTGGGTCATTGTACACCCCGGGACAGACATGGGATGAGCAGCCCTATTTCGCTCCAATAGCCATCTGCAGGTCAGGGTGAACTCCAATGGAATTCTCAGACCAAAACAGCCATGGAGGGGTTAAAATAAAAGGGTGAGGGGTAACAATCATGGGTTGACAGGAGAAGGAGGCAACACTTCACCTCTAATAACAGGAGGTTGCAGGAGAGCTCATCCTGGGAGAGCAAAGCGGAAGGCTTGGAGTTCTAACTGGGATCTCAGGTACTATGAGATGACATCTACTGGGAGCACAAAACAGCACTTTTAGGTCCTCTCTGTAATCCTCAAGAGAGTGGCCAGCACAGGTAGGTGGTGGAAGAAAAGAAAATTCCAGCACAGCTCCCCCAAAATCCAGGTGTGACTCTCCTCTCCCACCAGCGCTGCTCAGCAACTCCTCACTCCTTATTGCTGCACAAATTTCCTCTCCCAAATCCTTCCCTTGGCCACTCAGCCTCTCTCATCCTCCTCTCCCTTACACTCTCCTCCCAACCACTTAATTCTTTGCAGCCTGACTGCTGAATTAAAGGAGTTAGTGACAGGATTAAGTGCTTAGTCTATGCAGTAATTACACAGTTATCTTAATTCCCTTTGTCCAGTGCCCTTTATCGCTCCCTCTAACAGCTCCTGGATTTACCATGGACAAAGAGAGGCAGAATGGATCGCTCCATGCTCTTGCAGCAGCTCCTGTAATGGGATTCCCAGTCCTGGAATGAGCCCTGGGAAGAGCTCAGCTCTAAAACCCAGCGCTGAATCCAGAACAGATCTTCAGCTCCGGGCATTAAATCCCCACCCCAGAACTTCCACACCTCTCACCCTGTGAAACTGCAATTTCCAGCAGCACTCTAGGGACCAAAGGCAGCTTAGGCACAGCTTTAAAAACGCCTGCACTTACTTAAAGAGAGGGTTCTTGGGTCTCTGGGGTTTCTTCTTGGCGAAGAAGGCGGCAAATTCGCGGCCGGAGCTGGCGTAGCTGAGCTGGGCCGAGGGCTCCGAGGCCGTGCGCGTGTTCTTCATGTCCAGGTACTCGGTCAGCAGCATCTGAGGGGAGGAGAGAGCTCAGCACAAGCCACAGCACTGCTGCAGTCCAAAGGGCCACCATCCCCAGAGTGTCATCGTGCAGCTTCAGAAGGCTGCAAGCATCTGCCCTGGTTGTCCTTCAGCCCAGCCTTTTGTCCCCTCATGCTGATGCACTGCACCTGTGTGCCCACTCAGCACACCTGGGCACTCCATGGCTCATGACCTTTAATGCTGCTCACCTGCTCCTCACAGCTGCAGCTCATTAGGGGTGAAGCTCAGCCACAGCCCCACCGCAATCACCACAAACTCTGCACCTACACCTTCCCACCCAACCGTTCCATGATAAGGTTGAAGCATGGTCTGGTGATGCCTTAAAATTTTAGCATTTGTATTTTTCAAATCCTGTGCTGCATTAGTGTCACACTTGAGACAGCCACAACACAGTGTCACCATACAGTATCAGAGAGCTTCAACCCATACAGAAGAACATTGTGTCACTTCAGAAGGCTTCAAACCTCAGCCCTTGTTGTTCTCCAGCCCAGCCTTTTGTCCCCTCATGTTCATGCATTGCACCTGTGTGCCCACTCAGCACACCTGGGCACTCCATGGCTCATTACCTTTAATGCTGCTCACCTGCTCCTCACAGCTGTACCCGTTACTGTACAGCTCCTAATTACCACAAACTCTGTGCCTACACCATCCATCCATCATCCATCCATCCATCCATCCATCATCCATCCATCATCCATCCATCCATCCATCCATCCATCCATCATCCATCC